GCATGACACACAATGGCTAAATGGGGCTCTGTTCCTTAGCCACAGGCGCTGACTTCCTACAGCTTCCAAAATCTCTGTGTTCACTCACTACAAGTGAGTTGTAGCTAAAAATGTTGAGAGCTGCTGCTTCTTCATCTTGGAGCATTTTTACCAGCACTGCTTTAATATCTTCCGTTGAAAGGGATGATATTTGTTTCTTGTAGAACATCATGCAATGCATTTCTGCCTACCTTGAATGATATTTTCAATGACCACCTCTCAAACCCTGGAGGGAAAGCTTTCTGGTAGTGTCTAAACACTGTTACTTGATCCTCTGTAGGGAGATGTACAAGCAATTGTACGCATTGTTTTTCTAAACAGGATACCAGAGTAACTTTTTTGGAGAGATTTTCTTCCAGTGTTCTCTTGTATTCAGAGTACTATCAGTTTGGGTTGTGGCTTTTTGGGGAGTTGCAGGGGTTGGTTTGTTTGGGTTTTTTTTGTGGATTTTTTTCTTGTTTTCAACTCTTAAAAGAGAAGTTTTTCCCCAGATAACAGAAACCAACTCCCATCCAGTACCTTGCCATTACAGGTAGGTATCACAAAGCCCTGTTACGAATTTACCAAGCTTCAAACAAAGCCAGTCAGTGTGTTCAGCTAAAGACCTTTCATGGAGTCTACCTGCAACTTTCTCTGAGATTTATTCCAAAGCACTCCTGAAAGAGGCACAAATGGATCCAGTAAATCTTGTGCATAGAAAGTCTCTTGGCCATCTCCTGTGGGGTATACTTCAGGGTTTACTTTGACCTCTATGAACTGTTTGATCTTTATTTGGGTGGTCTTGAGGTGGGAGGTACATGTGTGAATCTGATGACATGGACCTGAGATGCACATCCCTTTTAAGATGGGGAAGGGGAGTAAGAGAATTTCAGGAACATTGCCACTGAGTAAAGATAAAGAAACATCCCGAGACAGCCTCTTTTTTTTTTTTAATCATTACAGGTGAGATGGAAAAGCTGTACAGGCATACCACTGAAACCCAAAGAACTAATCAAAAGGTGAAGTTACACGGCTGATCTAAGAACCAACACTTTTAAAACATGTGGATGCCCTGCAGCCTCCACCTCCTGCTCTGTTTATTTGCTGTCAGGTTAGTGAGCAAAAGTGGTTCAGCACAGGGTCTGATGTGTGGCAGGGCTGGGAGCAAAGCAGCACTTCCCCATCTGGCACTGGCAAAGTTCAGTTGGCTCAGCTGGGATAGCTGCACCATTGAGACAGTGTGCTGTATGTTTTGACACACGTTAGCTGATAACCTGATAAAAGGGGGAAAAAGCACAGCTCATGGATTTAGTCAGGGTTTTTACACAGCTTTCCACAGCAATGGAAGATCTGACAGCTGTCCTGAACAAGCTAAGTACAGCACTGAAGTCACCTTGCTCCCCCAGCCTGAGCCACCCCAGGGGCACAAGACAAATGTAGGGGAGTGCTATCTGTATCTTTCTGGTGATAGCAAATCTGTCTGAGACACGAGAAATGCTCTGATAAACTGCAGAAAGCAAGCAACAAGCACCCAAGCCTTGATTACAGCCTGTCATCAAGAAAAGCACCGAATTTGGGGGGGGGGGGGGGGGGGGGGGGAATATTACAAGAGGCTTAGTATTTAATGCTCTAAAGTTGTAAATCCACAACAAATCCTCCTGAGTTTAAAAATGCCTAAGACATATTTTAACTTATTTTTTTTTATTTTTTTTCCCAAATGCCATCTTATGCTCCCAAACAAATAAGCTGCACTGTTACATTTGCTTTCTCAGGATTCTGCAAATGAGGTTGCATCCAGTGCCTCGAGTGCTCTTCTGGCATCACAAAAGCTCTTTCCAATAAATAGTAAGCAAACCATTTATTTGTATTTATCTCCCCTTTTAAAATCAAATAACCCAAAAGTGTCCAGCAGATTAAGCAGTATCTTTTTCATGGGTGGCGAAAAAGAAGTTTGCCCTAAAATTATTCATGTTACTGAGGCATAATTTTACCACTTAAAAACAGAATGGCCCTGGAAAGGTTTCAATAACAAGAAAAAAGAAATACACCTCCCCAGTTGTGCACACTGTCTCTGAACAAAAAAAGTAGCTACTGTGAACTACCTAAATGTAAGTTTTTCTTCTTGTTGTTATAGATTTAAATTAAGTAAAGGCTTATCCAGCGTGGAAACAAATTATTTTTTCACCAGTGGTGCCTTTTTATTTTACTACCAGAGTCTGCACACACCTTGGGATCATTTTCTTGCTTGTCTCTTATAAAACTGGCGTGAAGACTAAATATTACTGCACTTGGAAAACTTGGTCAAAAGCCTGCCTCCCTCTTTGAAAAAAACAAGACGGTTAATGAAAAACCACTACAGTCCCCATGGGGGAATAAATAAATAAAATCCCAGCTTATCACATGAAATGGAAGTTTTATAAACACCTTTTGAAGGAAAGAAAACAAGTAGCAGCTGTAATATCACTTACTTTCAGGAGAGAGTTCTCACTGCAAATGTGAACTCCTACAGACAGTGGATGGGAAGAGGAGAGCCATGCACAGAAATTAAACTTGACCAGTCGTCCCTTCCAGGCCAGGCAAATAAATGTCTGATTACACTACATTCCCAGAGCGTGGTGCTTTACTGGCAGCAGTGCTGCCACCATGATATGGAAAAACAGCCTTTAGAAACGAAAACAAGCTGTATCAGTAAAAGTGCACTTTTGCAGATAACTGCTTCTACAGCTAGGACTTCTGCTGGCACAGCTATGTCAGTCACGGGTCACCGTCACAGAGCTCGCAGACAGAGCTGTGCCAGCAGAAGTTTGCCATACAGACCTGGTGGGGAAACTCAACAGTGACTAAAATGAATGTGCAAAGTTCTGTGGCTTCCATACTGCTGCCAAACTCTGTTTTTCTAACTGTCTGGTGATGGGTTGTCTTACTTCAGTGCTGGTGGCACATTAGGACCTCAGCTTTCCAAAGACGGAAGAAACCTAAAGTTAGTTCAGGAATGTGGCAATACCTATCAGCCATTTACACTGCACTTTATCCTTCAATTAAATATACAAACTGAACTGGAAAGAGTGCCTGTAGGAAGAAAAGATGAAATGGAATAAATTAAATTCTGCTGTGCTTCAGCACTCAGACAGCCCTTGCTTTTAGTACTAAGAGAACAAAACTGAAAGTGTTTAACGGGATTTGTTTAGCAGACAGCAGAGCACTGCAAAATTGCCACTGTTCAGTTAAACTGAACAGTCAATCTGTAACGGGGCTTTTGTCATCTTCAATCACCTTTGAAGACAAGGAGCAAGGAGATTTAACACCCGAGTTGATGCTCTGACATAAGTTCTATTTGGATGAAGCAGGCTGTGTTTCAGAAAAGCAATGTTTGGCAGTACAAATTTCACCGTCGCTTCTTATTTTGACAGGGAAATAAAATCACGGGCAGTGCTGTATTTTTAAATGCCATGCTCAACCTCATCAGAGGTTTTTGGCCCTCCAAATTGGGATACAGCTTCTAGGAATTCCTTGGGTTGTGCCACAAGAAGACTTTGGTGTTACAAATAATGTATTTTTTAGGGAGGGAAACACCTCAAAGGAATGGCACGGGCTAAAAATAAACACATTGTCATCACTTTCATTATCAACCACGTCTACACACACAGGAAGTATAACCATGAGCGACTTTGGGATGAGTTGTTTTCCCCTCCAGGTTAGTTTTTGGATGCACGACAGCACGTTTGTGCTCGGTGTCACGGAGAGGGGATGGCACAGGTATGAAATGAACTGTAGCAAACCCTCCCGCTTGGACAAGGCCATCTAAACTTCCTATCAGCAGGCCGGCTCAGGACAAGTTGTAACTCCCCAGAGCAAATGCTCAGCAAGCCTATTCAAAGTTTCAAAAACGGCCTGATAAAACCCTACTTGCCGAAAGATTTCAGAAGGTCAGATAAAACTTGGCATGGCCACGAAAGGCAGGAAACAACCAAGCCCTCCGCCATGTTTACCGAAAGTACTTAAGTTTAAAAAGCAAGCCCCAAACTGTTACAAAAACTCAGTGTTTAGGTGCGTTGTTTTATCTGCAAGCACCACCGCCTGAGCTGGAAGCCCAGCTTTTATTGCAGGTGACATTCCTGCCTGTCTTCCTCGTATGGGACTGCTGTGGAGTACCAGGAAAAAGCATCCAGACCTCTGCCTTCCCCAAAAAAACATCCCCCAAGCTCCTCTGCGGGGTCACCAGGTGAATGTCCCACCATGGGATGCTGGCCAACGCAGAAGGGACTGGGGCCAAGCGCTTATCCCATGGCCCGGGTTCACCCCACTGCCCCAAGCCTGGGCTATGTGGTGACCTGACATCCCAAAAGCAACTCGGGGGGGAGGCTGCCAGTGCCGCCGCGGCCCAGCCTCCAGGGACCCCCGCTTACCTGCTCACGGGGAGAACCCTCCGGGTCGCCCCTCGCCGCGAATAAACCCGCAGCCCCCCCCCCGCCCCGGTACACACGGATCCGTGTCCGTGAGGGCTCAGAGCGGCGGCTGCGAGGCGGCCCAGGCCGCGGCGGCAACCCCGGGTGCTGGCCCCGGTGCTGGCGGGGCCCGACATGGCGGCGCGGGCCCGCTCCCCGCCCCCCCGCGCCCCGCCAGGCCCCGTCGGGCCGCGGCACTCACCTGCATCCGGCGCGGCGGGGCGGCGGGGCCGGCGGCGGCGGCAGGGCGGCGGCAGGGCGGCGGCGGGCAGCAACGACATGCAGGCGGCGGCCCGCCGGGAAGCGGGACCGGGCCGAGGACGGAGCCGCGGGGCCGGGGCTCGGGCTGCGCGGAGGGCGGATGAGACGGAGCAGGGGGCGGGCACGGGGAGGCGGGCGGCGGGGCGGTGGCGGGGCCGGCGGGTGGGCGGAGAAGCTCGGGTACACGGCGGGCCCTGTCAGCGCTCGCAGCCGGGCTCAACAGCTGCCCGCGGCGGGGAAGGAACCACCGCCGGCCCGGGGGACACCGGCCTAGGCTGGGACGACACCCCGGTTTTACCTAATGATTATGGTAGCGGCAGCCAGGAGCCCTCTCCGGAGTGGGTGCCGAGGAAGTGGTGGTCCACAGGTAGGAGCCCTGTTCCTGGGAAATGCCTTTCAGTGCCCAGATTTCAGTTGTAGAGAGCCATGTGAGACAAGGGATGCTCTTCTAGGCAGCTGAAGCAAGGAGGCACAGGTAAATATCAGAAGTCTGTCTTCCCCCAAACACACTGAAATCCTTGTGGTGGCCGTTTCCATGTTCAGTGAGGAGGAATGTGGGCCTACCGAGAGGGAGAAGCGGATTGAAGGCTAAAATAAAAGCATCAGTGAGGGGTGGAGAGGTCATGTAGATCTTTGCCTGTTGGCCTGTGGGGCAGCCCTGTGCTGGGGATATGAATAAATCACCAGTAAAGTGGAGGGAGGCAGCTGGGTGATAGATCCAAGAGACTTTTGATTCAAACTTGCTTTCTACTGCAGCTGCCTGGAGTCATGCTGACCCGAAGAAGGTCGTTTATGCTGAGAGAGCAGGAATTGCAGAAGGAGCGAGGGGCTTTGATAGGAAATGGGCTGCAGAGTGAGTGAGTAATCAGGAATGGGAGCCCATATTTCCCTCCCAGGTCCAAAATCCATGACCCACATCAGGACTTTGTGTCTAACAAGTTGGAGGCTCACAACGGGATTGGCGAGTTGTGGAGGAAGGCCATGGAGAATGCAGGTTGCTACATGATCACGGGTGCGTATTAAATGGTCACGCAGCGAGTCTTGCATTACATGTTGCCATCACTACAGGAAACACACACCTAACACCCAGCGGAAAAAAAACCCTTCCCCAAAACCCGTTCTGCCTTTGTGCTTTAAATTAACGCTTCTTCACTCCTCAGTGAGACTTTCTAACAGAGGAGTTGGGTTCTTTTTGCTCCTGTTGCCCTCACACCTCTCCATTTCGATCCATTCCCAGGAAATCGAGTGTATAGTTACATTGGATGAACATATCAGTTTCATTACAACTTGTTTTACGTATGCTCATACATCTGATTGACGGTTAACTGTTCTAGTTCAAGAGGCTCCCTGCCGTATCAGGGAACGAGACATAACTGACAGCTACTGGCTCTTTGCAGCGCATGAGGTCCTTACAGAGGCAATGTGAATCATCCCTCACCACAAGAAAACACCTAGCATCATTGACAGTCAGATTTCTTAAAATATTTCCAAACAAACCAATGGATAAGGCGAGCCTGAGCTCAGAGTTTGGATCAGGAATGATCTGATTGAATTTAGAGGATATTCTTGGACACACATTTATCAGGTAGGGCAATGAAACCGCTGGAGGTGGGATGTTTCTAGTCCAAGGCATGTCAGTGTAGCATAAAAAGATCTCCTTTCGTGAGTGTGCATATAGCAAGAGGTGGGATTATAGTTTACAACACCTATCTGAACATTTTAGGACCCAGTTAAACCAAGTCCTTCACGCATAGGTGTGTGGATCAGGCAGGTCTTTTCCCATTTGCAAATCAACAAGAGTGATGTCAGGCAGAAAACCTCTCTCTTGAGTTTCCTGGGACTCACAGCAAAAAACGTTTAGCGGGAAGCAGCCAAGATGAACCCACACGGATGTTTATTTCAGATAGAAACATGCCAGTTTCTTAGGGAAGTGTCTCTGTCTCTCCCTCAGGAGAGGCTGCCCTGTTGGGTGTCTCTGGGGCAGGCCGTGCCCACTGAACACCGTCTGAGCACAGACGTCTGCTGTGTTCAGCCCCAATTTGTACTGAGGCCGCCTTTGAGGCCGGTTAAGAACCGTGCTGGAGACTTTTAATCAGGCTCCCACACCTGGCATAGGGCACAAGCCGGAAAGGGGGATCGGCGGAACGGTGGGCCCCGGTAGTGGCGGACGGGGGGCGTCCTGCGGGTGACGCCGCAGGGACTTCCGGTTACCACTGGAAGCACTCGACCCCACCTCCGGGGGACGCTTTCCGCGTTGCACCACGGTGGCAGCGCAAGATGGCGGCGCACGCTGGCCGCTGCCTCTGTAGAGGTGAAGGGGCCTCGCGGTTTCTCTCCGCCGGGAAGGCGTGTCGGCTAGTGGCTCTTTTCTTGTTTTAGCCGGCGGGTTTCCCCTTGGCCGTGGTGTAGGGCGTCTCTGAGGGATGGTGGGGTGTCAGGGCGGGAACTGTGAGGCGAGGGAGCCTTATCTGAGGTGGTGTTTGCTTTTCCCTCACAGTACTGGCGCCTCTTCGCGGGTGGATCATCCCTGGGCTTGACCGGCGCCTCGCTGCCGCCTCTGCCATGGTGAGCGCCGCGGCGCCTGTCCGGCTCTACGCTGCGGCCGCGAAGTGAGTGTGTCTCCTTCTGTCCGAAGTGGCTGCTGTAGCCCTCGGGGGTCTTTAAGTGGTGGCTGGGGAGCGTGTGTGGTTTCGGTCTCTGCAGCGTTGCTGTCACAGCCGAGCTGGCCTTGGTGGCATCCTGCGAGCTCTTGAAGAGACAGCCTGGAGAGAAGCGTTCTGAGCTAGACTCGGAGGGAACGTTTTGTGTTACTCTTGTAATAATAAGTGTAACAATTTTACTTGATACTTTTGTTGTGTGCTTTTGGAGGGTACAGTTGGATTACAGCTCAAGGAGTACTGCCAGCACAAAAGCTGGTGTGCTTATGGAGCTGGCTTCAAATAGTTCCTCTTCTTGCTTTAAGTTGGTTTTTATTGTTTAATTTGTTGTCACTTTAACATTACAATATAAGTGGGAAAAATAAAAATTACCCCTGTGTACTGGAGAGTTAAGTGTGTTTGTATCCCAAGTGTTCTGAAGTGTTGGAGAGTTGTTCACCATAGTTACTAGAGGAATGGAGTACCTGACTATTACTTTATTTTTTTTAACTTGATTTGGGAGCCCTTGAAAATAGGGAGAAAAATAAGGATTTGGGCTGTTGTTTGTTAACTCCATGCTAAATGATACAGGAAAGGGAGGAGAAAACTTTTCAAGAAAGTAGGGCTGCTGTCATCTACTATAATACTATGGAAACCCCTTCAGATGTGGCTTCTTCTCATTATCAAGAAGGTGGGTGGGAGTTGTTCAGTTCAGAAGCAGCTTGGGCACAGTGCCTGCTACCAGCTCATGTGAAAGCAAGACCTGTGAAAGCTGGTGTGTTTATCTTCAACTGGTTTTGCTCTCATACAGCAAGAAGTCCTTAATTTGGTTTGGTGCTGCACAAGTGTGGCGGTGTTGTTTGAGAAGCTTAATTGCTTTCAGAGCTTTTGGTTTCTGAGGGTTTGATTTCTGTCTTGACATCTGAGACAAGTAATTGGGATGAGTTTAGGGATCCTGTTCATCTTTGTGTGGGACCTCATTAACTAATTGTTACTTAATAAGTGACATATAGCAATATATACTTTTTTCTCAAGGAATATGTGCCAAACCCATCAGTTGATGATCTAACAATATTTTTTGTCTCAGACCTGCAAACAGAAGTTCACAAAAGACCAAGCAGGAAGAGACAAAAAAGAAGCAAGTACCCAGGAGGCGGCCACTGATGACTAAGCCTGTGGATGATGTCTACTTGACGTGGCATTATGAGCGCCCATCCTATGAAGTGGAAAAGGCTGTGGGGATGCTAAAGAAATTTCAGGAACTGGACTTCACTTACCCCAAACAGTTTGTCTATATTAACGTGTTCCTAGATATGGCACTACAGAAGAAGGTACGTTGGAAGTGTTAACAAATGTTGATACTTTTATTTTATAAACATGGGAAGTGCATAAGTCCATAAATGCAGAGCAGATGCTGCAGTTGTTCTTGGCTGCCTCTTGCAGTTACTCTGATTGTCAGAATAACGGTGGCTTTTATGGCTGGCTTTGTGCCTTTATACATGTATAATTGTCTAACATTCCTCACGCTTCTGAGGTGAAGATAGCACCGCTGAGGGTTCTGAAAACAGGCTGTTATGTGACTAAAATCCATTTATGGACAGAACTGATCAAACTAAGGTTTATATCTCTTCAGGCTTTCTGCTTAAAGATGTGTTCCCAAAATCATGTATGTGTTTTGTTCTGGGATGATTGTTACTGATTGTCCTTACTATTGTAAGGACAAGCTTCTTCCTGTTTCTGTCTGCCACCTTGTTTTGATTTTTTTTAAAAATAATGTTCCTTGAAAATACGTGATCACTTGTTTGCCTATGACCTGTCTGACTTTGAAGTTGTCAAGCACTCTTCAGTCTTTCCCTAAATCCTTTGCTTCCCTGATAAGTAGAAAATGGGCCACTTGAGAGTTGGCTTCTTCACATGTGTAATTAAACATCTCTTTGATATACCAGGAGTCCCTTTGAGCCAGAAAATAAGTTCATGCTTAACAAAATGCAGAGCTCTTGCTCCTGCTTTCAGGGGCCATGTGATGTTCTTAAGGCTCTGTGACAGGCACATGAGGTTTGTGTTGTCTGTTGCATGAGAATCAACATTTAATAAGGTGCAACTGCAGCACCTCGATGTTTGTTATTCACTGCACCAAAGCCTGGTAGCAATCCTGCCCTGGAGTCACTGACCCCAGCAAGCTCCAGCATAATTAATTCATGTCACTTATGTTTAGTCTTGAGAATATACTGGACATAAAAAAGCAGTCAAGTCTTGCACCTTGTGCTTGTTCGATATGACCTCTGTGCAAGGAGATTGTGGGTAAGTTTGCTGTTTAGGGGACCAACTCCATGCAGTTGTGTGACTTGCCCTTAAGTCATGGTTATTATTTTTTTTTAATTTGTTTTAATATTTTTCTTTCTTATTAGAAAAAAGTGGAACCATTTACAAGCACTGTTCTTCTTCCATATCGCTTTTCAGATCAAACGAATAAGGTCTTGGTTTTCACAGAGGTGGGTAAGGCTGAATTACTTGCTTTATATTCTTTCTGTATCTAGCATGCTTTTTCAGCACAACAAGTACTATGCCTTTTGTCAAGAAGACTCTGTGGACGCTTTACACAGTTCTTAAGTCTGTCTAGGATTCGTCTTCAGCATCATATTAATGTATTAATAAGCACCTTAAAGGATTTCCTTCATCTTGATAGGTTTAAGTATACATAGATGATTCTAGCAGTGCACTTTGGAAGTAAGCATCTGCATAGATGTGACTAAGGAAGAGATGATTAAAGATCATTTACGGAGTAGAACCTTTGTGACCTTTTTATAATACAGGCAAATGGTTTAGCATAGCAGCTGTGTCCAGCCATCCTGTTCTAAGCCTTAGTAGGCAGTGCGGATTAGAAGTAGGTATTATTCAGGCATATACACTTTAACAGGATATGTTTAGGGGAGAAGGGGAAAGTAACTCCTCTTCAAAAACCCTAAACAATTTAGCATCCATTTGCCCTGAACCCTTTCTCTGCTCTCCTAGGAGTTCACTAATGTGAAATGGTGTGGAGAGCAGCTGCAGCATCTGCATGAGAGCAGTTTCAGCCTCTGCTGCTGTTATTTGACAGTTAATAATTCTATCAGAATAGACCTGCACACATCTGCATAAAATTTTGCTAGAGAACTGGCACAGATTTAGCTGACTATCCTTTAGGCTTCAGTTTTGTAAAACTCTGTAACTCAGCTACAAATGGAGAATCCTCCTACAGAATAGATTCAAGCAGAGAAGACCCAAGCATGCCAGGTTCTTTGGTGCTGTATCACAACCTTTGCTCTTCACTCAAATTCATATGGGGTAAGAGATGCCATGCTTTGTGAAGGCGTATGTGCGGAAAAAGGTTGAGCAACTGAAACACACTGCTTTGGGATGGAAGTATGGAGCTTTTCAGTTTATTCATGTAAGGAAAGCTTGATTCTGTCTTTGCATCACGTAAATCTGCTTGTATCAAAAGCTTGAGCCAAAGTTTTTACAAAACTGATGCTTTTTCCCACATTTCAGACTATTAAAAGCAAAACCTTGTAGAGGACAGAGAAGATTAACTACTAAGTTCTCTTTGAAGCCTAAGTGTAACAGTGCCTTTAGGAGCTGGAAAGCATTACTTTACAGTGGGTTTTAGTAGTATGTTTTGAGCTTTTCTTTAAGCTTAGAGTAAGATGTTGGGTCCATCCGGTCAATGGTTCATTGTCATTTCCAAGGGATGGAGGTGGGAGAGAAAGGGCTTTCGATAGAGCACCTCAGCAAATGGAATGGGCTTTTCTCCACTACAAGCTGAATAAAGACTTGTCTTCTATTCTTACTGGGATGTGGAGTAGAGTTGTTTTGCTGTTATATTAAATCACCAGCATTAGATATTTTTGGTCCCTGATTGCCTCAAATCATCCTTCTTAGCCTGTAAATAGCCTGGTTTTATACCCAGTTGTTCAAGATAAATCACCTGTTCAGTGCTGTTGATATGGAGTAGTTGGTAGTACAGATGTTATTGATTTTTTTTTTTAATTTTTTTTTCTCTCAACAGAATGAGCAAGAAGCAGAAGTAGCTCGAGCGAATGGAGCTGCTGTTGTGGGAGGAGTTGAATTAATCAAATGGGTATTTTTTTACTTTTTTTGTTTGTTTTTTATGATTTATATAAATATTCTAACTTAAACAGTGGTTGAGCAGGGGAGGGAATAAGAAACCTCGTGTCCAATGAACTCTGGCTTGAAGTTAACAGCCAGTAAGAAGAGTGAGAGATGGGTTTCTATGCTTGGATATGCTTGTAGGTCAGCTTGTGTACTGAGGTAATTTATTGTGTTCCTAAATGTATTTAGTTGTTTTCATTGTAGATTTTGGAAGATGAAATCCAAGTGGACTCTTACATAGCTGTTCCCGAAATAATACCTAAGCTAATACCATTAAGGAGCAAACTCAGACGGAAATACCCGAATACAAAAAAAAGTAAGAAGCAGTTTGTTCTTACAAATCTCAAATACTGAACAAGATACCACTCTAGAGGTGACCCCAAAATTTTTTTATGGGTATGTGTAATTAACATTGAGCGTTAGACTGTATGTGACTGAAATACGTGTTTTAGGTAAGAGCAGTTTTAGGAATGTAGAACTGTGTTTTTCTCCCACAGCAGGCACATGTGGGTTTAGAGTCAAGGTAAGTTTGCCTACTAATTGCCTCTATACTTGTTAATCCTGACGAACCCTAATAGTATTATAAAAATACTCAGGAAGGCCAAAACAGTTTGCAAAACAGTACTCGCTGAGGTAGTTGTGTTGTTGAACTGTTGTGCAATTGTTTGGATCTCAGTTTCATGACTGCTACTGCTCCTTCTGTCCTTTGCTACTCAACAATGGAGTTACTTAAGCTTTAGTATTTTCAGATACAGAGAAAATTAAAAATGTGTGTTTGTCAAACATAGAGCTATGTGAAGCACTGAGTCTTTAACCCTGCTCCATCTGTCTTCATGTTTTCAAAGTGCAGGCAGTGTTTTTAGGCTCCTAAACGTTTGAGACAAACTGATTAACCTGTCCGAAACATTGCAACAGAGAATACTCCAGCTATTTCTTGGAACAAATGAAAGTTACATTATGCCATTATTGTGCAATTTATATGGACTGTAGCTTATCCAAGGCCAGTTTGACTTGGAGCCATCAAAAGATGTATGGGAGAGGAAGTGCTGGTATTAGAAGCAATGGAGTGATGGTATAAATCTGTCACATGAGCCTTGGCAGTTGTGATAAGAAACAGCTCTCTTGACTTGTGGGAATAGCTGGATTGGGACAGTGTGTTCCGTGTTGTGTTTAACCTTGCTGTTACGCACTTGTAGACTTTGTTTTCAAGGAAGACTTGGTGTGTATTCTAAACCTAACTCTAGGTTTTGGTCTTTCAAGCCGGTTTAATAGTGTTAGGTAATAAAGCTTTGTTTTATATATGCACAAACAGGTTCTGTATTTTAAGTGAAACCTTTGTTGTGTTTCCTACTCTATTAGCTCTTCGTATCCGCTGATGAAGGAGGAAGGAGGGAAGCTAGAAATGATTTAGATAGTGGGTGTGAGGGCATTGTTGTTCATAAAACTACGTTTTTATTAGGTTTAACTGCCTTAATGGAATGATTTCTCTTTTGACCAATATCACACTTAGCCAAAATGCTAATTTTGGCTAATGCTAATATGCATTTCTGAGAAATGCTAATAAGCATTTCTCAGACAACATTTTTGCCTTTTTTTTTTTTTTTAATTAGATTCCCTGGGCCGTGATATTCCCAAAATGCTGCAACTCTACAGAGATGGTCTTGAGTACACAGTACAAGATGAGTGTGTAATCAAGACAAGAATAGCAAGAGTAAGTTGTGTATAGAGTGCTTAAGTTTATTCTACTGAGCAGAGCTGAAGTTAGCATTAAAAGAGGAGAAAAAAAATGTTTTTAATCTTTGTGTTCTTAAGATTTCGAAGTATGTTCTGAGCTGTGAAGTAAATGGAACTCATAGGCTTCGTGTCATGGCTTCAGCTGATGTCAGCCCTCTCTGTTGTTGATGTGTGGTCACAGAAGATGGCTCAGCTAAAACTGAGAGCAAAGCATACCTGATACTAAGAACTTAAGGATGCCAAGAATGGGATCTGTATTTGCCACTGTATTGTGGCAAGGAGTTGTAATAATGAACAAAATAGAATTAAAAAGGTACTTTTCCTAGTAATCTCCTTGTGAATTGACAACACAGGCTTTCCTTTCCTCTTTCCCTCCCCAGCAGCCTTCTGTGAGCAAAATAAAGCTTATTCAATATTCTTTTAAGTAAATAAACTATGGGTTGTAAGTACATGGTCAATATGTACAGGTGGATCGAAAAGTGTTTGCTTTAACTTAATAATTAAAGACTCATTTATTTTTGATAAGTTTAGATCTGGACTGGAGCAAAAAGCAAGAACTGTTTGCTTTACACCTGGAATATAAAACTAATTTGTACTTTGCTGTCATGGAAGAAATTGAGTTATATAAGAACATATTTTCTGGTGGGGTTTTTTTTCATTTCTTTTCCCTGATCCAAACTGTGTCTTGTCTTCATTCTGTTTTGTCTGTTTGTAATCCTGCCTGATTAAATTTTAGTTTTCCTTTAACTGATAACTGGTACGGGAAGAAAGTGTACAAGATAAGTAACCAATGAAGCTTTATCTGGCGAAGTTAGAGATAAGCAAGTTTATTAATTCTGGGTAGCTGCTCCAAGTTGTGCATGTGAATTTCAAGGGCTTTCTTGTCTATATGATGGTAAAAACTGAGGGATATGGGACTATTCTGCTACAGTGTGTTACATGTTTCACTTTGATACAGGTGGGGGTATCTTTAACTGTTCAGTCAGTAAGTTTAATTGACAGTGGGAAATGCCTTGAATCCATAGGTCAGTTGTGGTTTGTAGTATTGTGACTGTATTCTTCAGGTTTTCCTTTGGACTGCTTAAACTTTGGTCACTTTCTACTGTAGGTCAACTTAAAAATACCCCTGCAAATTAAACTTACTGTGAAGTTTCTTCTTGTATAGTAAAGAATAAAAACCAGGTTTTGGATAAAGGTGGATGAAAAGTGCTGATGTATTGACAGTGTTCAGTGCAATTGCAGTTGGTTCTGCTTTGTGTGGTGTCCTGCAGCTGTGGCTTGAGTTTCTGAAGTTCAGACCATGTCTTGTTAGCGATGTAAGATCTTGGTGTTACATATTACCTTGGGTTCTGTGTCTGGGCAGCACAGTTCCTGTGGCACTCCAGAAGGTTTGGTGCAGCCAGAGATGTCATTGTGCAAGTAAACAAGAGGACCTCATGAATGAACTCTTCATTTTGGATCAGAATTAGTGTGGTGAGAGTTTACTTACAGAGTTGTTATGTGCTACGTTCAAGTCGCCTGTGTGACAGAGGTGACTCCAGCACTGCACACACAGTGTGACTTGCTCTGTCACACTTTCATGTGTTGTGTACAGGGGCATTACGTGGTGGTTATGGCTTGTGTAAGAAGTCTCCACACTCTCTAGCTACTACTCTTAACTGACCTAGTTTCCCTACTGTTTGCACAGCGGCGCTGGAAGGAAATGGAGTGCAGGCAAGGCTCTGGGAGGCTGAGAGAGCCTTGAGTGTTATGCATATCAGCTCACCACTAAATCAAGAGCCTTTAAAATTTAAATCTCATCAGTGAGGAAAATAATAATTTGTGAATAACACAGAAGTGTGAAGATCTATTGCTGTATTCCAAACAGTAGTGTAGATGTTTCTGGGAGTCTGCCAAGCTGGCGTTACTCAAAGAGATGGTTTCCCTGTAGTGCTGCTGTCTTATGTTGCCTGTTGGTTCAGTTTTGGCCAGTGGCTTGATGTAATGCTGCGTTCCCACAGAAGTCAGCAGCCTCAGTGGTGTTGTCTTAGTTGTAATTGCGATGTCTTTGAAAAGCTCAGTTAAATTTCATTAGTAGATCTGAAGTTGAGAAGCTGAGAATGCAAAAATCTTACTCTAAGATGTGGAGCTTAATGCAGAAGGGAGACAAATGAGAACACTTGGGATATCTCCTTCAGATTGAAGCTATCTGCAGAGGGCATTTTTTTAGGGTTTTGACATAAGCCTTGAGTCTAGACAGGTTGCTGTTGTTCATTAAAAAATTTTGTTTGGAACTTTGGAGTCGTCTTGAGAAAAATCAGAGTCCAAATGTGACACCAGGAAGGAATTCCAGCATGTCTTTGTATCTGCAGAGAGTTGCCTATGAAGTGGTTTTCTTGTGGAACAGAGTAAGATGGTTTCAGGAGGTGAAACCTTAAGGTTTGTTCTTAGAGATGCCCTTTCTGGAAAGGGGCATGTATACAGGGGTACTGTTTTTATTCACAGGGTTAAAAGTATGAAGGGATGTGTACTGAACCAGAGAGATCTCAGACTTGGTGCACAGAATGTGCAGTTGGATGGAAGTAAGAGTTAAGGCAGGAAACAGAAGGGTCAGTTTGCACTGGAAGTAGCATCTGCCTCCTGGCTGTTTGTGGGATTGAAGGCCCCAAGTGCTAGTGTCTCTTCAAAGAGAAAAGACACATGGATTCTTAGCTCTGAACTCCTTAAAGGTGCAGGGAAAAGCAGTCCCACAGTTGAGGAAGAGCTGTTAAGTCTTGCCATTACAGATGCTTAAGAACTGAAATATATGTATTGGGGGATGAAGGGAATAACACAAAAAGCATAGTTGTCTTTTGGTACATATTTGAGCTGTTCTTTATTTGAAACACCACATGGAAAAGCTTGCCTGTCAGCAGTGTTATTTCCAACAGTTGACAAGTCCAGGATGAGAGAGAGATTCAGCCATAAGTTATGCATGTTGGAGTTAAAGGTGTTTGTTGTGGTGTAGATGAGTTAGCCTCATCCTTTATAACCTTTGCATCTGCAGGACTCCCTCTTTTTGGAGGGAGGTTGTTTGAGCTCTTGAACTGGGTTCCTTTCTCTGTTTTGTGTGATGTGTGTGCTCATGCTGCTTCTGCCGTGTAGAACAGCTCTGCTTCGTCTGCTTGTGGGTGTTCTTACTGGCTAATTTCTGGCTTTATTTTCCTGCCCTCTGATTCTTGAAGCATGGAGTTAAACCGCTGACAGTAATCTTGTTTGGCAGAGCATTAATCATTTTGTGTTCATAATTTCTCATATTCTGTCAAGTGTTTCTGCCCTGCCATGACTGCGATTCCCTATATGTGTGTTATACAGGAACTGCCTGGTGGTTAAGTCTGCAGTACCGATTCAGTGCTCTGAATGATCTTTCGATGCGGTTCCCTAAATACAGTTCAGAAAAGCATTTCTCTGTGGTTAAAGCTAGTGTTTTAATAGCAGGACATTTTTTTTATTTGTGTATTTAGCCAGCAAATAGCTGAGTGGCTCTTCTGTGTATTCACTTGCAGTCTTCTGAAGATCCCCTAGAAATTTAGAAGTGTTGAGACTTGATGAATCAGTTTTAAGTGATCTGTTCTGGGGAAACTTGTGCAGTGCTCAGTATTAAGAGGCAATTTCCTTCTAGGCAGCAGAGTTAGTGGGACACCCCTCTCAAGACAAATATTTTATGTTCCTTTTTAAAATAAAAAAGGAACAAATAGCTTTGCACCTTTTTATAGCACCTTATGCTGCTCTAGAGGGACGTGTTCTAGACTTGAAATGGTAAGATAGGTAACAGTTTCTGTGTTCTGATTATAGTATATGCTGTCATTTTATAAGGCACTTTGTGATTAGGTTGCATTTATACAAAGTGGACTAGAAACTAAGTGATAGTTGCTCCCTCTGCAGGCATGGTTATTCTTCAGGGAAGCTCAGGACTCAAGTTCTTATTTATATATTTCAGATACTGTCTTGTATTGGTTGCTGCAGTCGATCTGAACAGAGTAGCTCGCAGAGCCCTGAAGATCTGGTCCAGAGTAGTTGGTGTCAGGTTGCTGAAGGCTTGAATTCAACTCAGTATCTAAGTGCTGATACACAGTGACTGTATATACACAGGGATTTACTGTGGAATACTTATTTGGAAGCTGAAATATTTACTTGGATGTGGAAGCTATTTTGAAATGCTGGGAAACCTCTGAGCATTACCTGCTTTCATTATGGAGCTGTTGGCATCTCAAGTAAATGATGGTTTGTGTTCTCTTGAGATGTGCCATGTTTTCTGACTGAATGCAAGTCACTTTGTCCTATTTTCCTGTCTTAACAAATACAGAATATAAATTAATGTCTTAATATTTTGAAATGGGTCGGTCCTGTCTTGTAATGTATGATATTTCTAAATCTTTATGAGGAGTTGTAATTTCAGAGCAACTTGCAAATTCTGTCTCTTCTGAATGCTTCTAGACTTGGTTACGGATGAGGAATGTCAACTAGCTCACTGAAATTGTATAATTGAAGTGTTAGATTGGAAGAAAACACTATTCAAACCTTAATTTGAAATAAAGTTTCTAATTAGCAATTGCCAGTTACTTGTTTTGTTTAAATGGCTTCTTTATTTTTAATTCAGTACAGCATGGTGAGTCTGTCACACAGTGAAATGCTCAGCATTAACATGTCTGCTTAATTTATGGGTGATTAAGCACTTTGCAATCAGTGTAACAATGATAAAGACAAATGTCTTCTGGCATGTGTAGCAGAGGAACTGCATTTGGGTTGTAAGTCTGCTGGCAGAGCATAAAGAGATATTAATGGACCAGATCTGTAGGAGAGTAGTCGAGTATGACAGCATTTCTATTGCAATGTACTGCGCACATTTACAGATGAGATACTAATAAAATCTGCTTATATTACATGGGGAGGTGGCAGAGAGGAAGAGAGAGCCCCAATTATACTATATGCTCCCCTGAAATACAGTTAATTCTGTGAGAAAAATGCTATTTTTAATTCCATAGCTGGAACTTGTAGAAAAAGAACTCGATTTTTCATCCAGGTAAAGATATGTGGATAATATGGGTGAGACCAGACAGCAAATTAAATCAAGCATAGCAGGGCATTATGGCAGCAGAACGTTAAGTCTGAGAAATGCATGTTAAGCTGTCCAGGACCTGAGAGACAGGTGAGCCCTGGCTTTGATTCAGGTTGGCATCTGTCTTGATCATGAGTTATATGTTCTTGAGGAGAGTCCAGATGAGATGAACAGCAGTCATGGTTTAAGGGGATTGGTATTTGAGGGAAGATGAAGGTATTAATTTTTTGGCAACTGTGTTGGTTCACTTTATAAGTTTTAAATGATTCATTTGGTTCTCTTTTCAATGCCTTCAATTTTAGATGCCTTTTTTTTTGTTTGTTTAGTTGATCTGTTTTGTGGTCTTTGACAGTTCCTTATTGAAGCTTCTTTCCTCAAATTCTTTAGTAAGCTTTTTGCAAAAACACTTGTATACATACTTCTTTTTTTTTTTTTTAAAGACTTTTCACCTCTTTAAGGCTACCTGTTGTTAGAGAGCTGTGGGGATTTAATGTCATAAGTAGAATTATGGAAAGTTATGATAAGCGTATAACCATGTATAAAATACTTTTTTCTGTGAGTCATTTGGATAAGGCTTTTAATGGGATTTCTAACTCCTTAATGGCACACTTATTCAACAAAAGTTGAATAAATATATACCCAGTGTTTTCAGATTTATTAATCTAGGGTATAAGTGTCATCATGGCTAACTTTGCATTACCCTTTTTCAGCTGGATATGCCTACTGAGCAGATAATTGCGAATCTAAAAACAGTTATCAATGATATCTGCACATTCAAGCCATTGGCTTATGGTAAGTAGCTGTTCTTCTAATGACATAGTTGAAGTTAGAGCAAGTAAAACGAAGAAGTTACTGTTCTTTACTGGGGTGTCATTAAATGACCTTGCTGCTTTGTCTGCCTTGGGATAGGAAGAACTGAATTGTGAACTGTAATCACACCGCAGCACTGTGTAAGTGTCTTTGTAAGGCAAGCAGTGCGATGATGTAAAAAACTAAGTTTGCAGGCTTGATGCTTAAGTAGATGAAAACCACACAAGGAAATCCTGATGAGACATGGAGGTATTCAGCATCTGTTGTGCGCTGGTTGACCCTGTTGTGGCTCAACACAAAGAATCCGAACTCAAAATCCACCTGCAGATGCCATGTTAAAACTTGTGCATCAGTTAATATCTATCTGCCTTGCTTGAAGTTGTATCGCAATTTATATTTTTTTATTTATTACAAAGATACTTTTAAATTTCTGTTGGGAAAGCAAAAGGAGGAGGTTACAAAGGAATGAAAGGTGTGAATTCTGTGTGTTGTTCTTTGGCTGTGCTCACTATTCTGAGCAAAAAAATGTGAACAATTAATACACTGTCTGCTTTTTGTCATAATGAAGTAAACTTAAATGTCATCTGTTTAGCTGGAGTGGAAATGGTGATTTATGACCACAATTTTGTGGAAGAATAGCCTTGTTTAGGCTAAGAAAACAACTTTTTATCTTAATATTGAATTAATGTCTGCAAAAAAGAATCATGCATCTCCTCCAGTGATGCTGTTAATAGTAACTACTGCACAGAGAAGACAGACCGCAAAAGCCAAGTACATGTGCCTTCAGAAGCATTTCAGCCCAAATATAAAAAATAAGGGGGTGGTTGACATGAAATACAAGAAACCAGAAGCAGAAAGTGGTGTTATTTCTGTCCTTACAGAGTTTATATGTGAGCTACACCACCCTAGTTAAGTAAGGATAAGATCTTCTGTTTTTAGTAGCATTTCTACTGATTTTGCATTATGAAGCTTTATTCTTGTGGCGGGACTCTTACGGGCTTGATTTAAAATAACTTGCTGTTTATAGGAAGCAGACATGGTAATTAACACATCTTTGCAGCAATGGAGTCTAGATGTGCTTGCTAACTATCGATTGCTTAGATCAGCTAGTTTTAGGTATTTGTTCTTCAGTTTCTTTCAGGCTTTCCGTATGTGATACGTAGTTATCACTAATATGGCATTCCCCTGCGAGTCACTTGATCTAATGGAAGACTGAAAATACCACCAGGCAAATGTTCTCAGAATATAATGTAGATCTGTTTAATCCCTCATCAGGAAACCTGACTAATTCCATAGTTTTTCTTGTCAGGAGGTTTCTCTCAGCATCTCATGGAAGGATCCTGAATTAGGAATGGTTTCTTTTGTGCTCTTAGTCATGGAGGAATATTTGGGTGATCAACAAACTTCCCCCCATATCTTGCCAATCAGTACCAATCCTCAAAGTTGAGTTTGTAAGCTGAAATTTTAAACTAACAAGTGTGTGTCCCTTTAACATAGTAGAATAGACCAAACTGTTCTAACTTACTAATACATAGAGAGAAAGCGATGTTCGCCTCACAGGGGAGGGAACATCATGGGACTTATAACAACTAAGGAGACAGTAAGTCTAAGGATGCTGGCCTTCAAGATAGCAGAGTGGCATGCAGCGTGGAGTGAGACTGGCACAGAACAGAAGCAAGGACATCCAACTGCTAACTCAGCACTAGGACCTTGCAAGCATGCGCAAACACTGAGGTCATTCAGTAAACACAGTGAGGAAGACTACTGGTGACCACCAGAGACCCCCACTCAACAAGAAAGCACATGTGTAATTAGGATGCAAATATTATAACTAGTTCCTGGAATAGCTGTAAATATGCATGAGTATGCTAAATACACGGCTGCTTTGGCAGGGTAATGGGCCTGCTCACCTTTGCAAAACAATTTGCGTATGTGCCCAGCACTGCAATAAAGAATGCTGCTTCCTAAAACTCCAAATTGAGTCTTAGAGAGTTTCTTCAAACTACTTTTACAGTAACAAGTTCACTTATGTCATGTGTTGGAAGAGTGTGTGTGTGAAGCTTTAACTGTGTTTTTCTAAGGAGGAATGTGTGTGTGTGTGAAGCTTTAATTGTATTTTTCTAAGGCTTGGGAGCACTTTGCTGATGAGGTACTGAAGGAATCATCAAATTACACCTTTTAAAGCACCAGAGTATAGATTGCATTGTGATCCCAGTCTGCTGGGATGGATGTTAAACTTGGAGCTGAACGAATGTGTGTACTTCTATAGTTCTGGTTCTGCTCATGTGCTTGAAACAGTGTGGGTTCTAAGATAAATCAGCCTGGAGACATGTAAAGTGGTGTGTAAAGTGTGACCGAGTTGGTGGTCTTTGTTTTCTAGGTCCTTTTGTGCAGAGGTTGGTGATTAGATCTTCCACCAGTGAAGGTTTGCTATTGTACCTTGATGGCCTTCTACCTCAGGTGGAGAAAGCAGAAGAAAAAGTAGAAGAAAAAGTAGAAGAAGAAGATGCAGAAGGTGATGAAGAAAAACATGTCCCGGAATCTGCTAGTACCTGATGTCTTTACTTGTAGATCTGATGGTCAAGCTTAGAAAGCAGAGGGTGTGATTGAAATCATAATTTATGAAAAGAAAAAAATAAACTTAACTTGAGAATTCCACTTGTAAATTCTGTGTAACAACAAACATTGTCATAAACAGGAGTCTGTTGTCAAGACTGAAGACATTTAAATTCTTTTTGTTGGTAGCTGAAAGCTGCCAAGTTCGTGTATTGTGGTTTTGTTTTTTTTTTCTTTGCAGGTAACAGTTTTTACTTTAATAAAAGTATTTCTGTAACTTCCGAAGTATTGCTGTTGATTTCCACACTTGCAGCCAAAATGTACCATGCTTTTGTCTTGACTAGGTCCCCCACAGAGCAACTGGTGCAGTTACTGGTGGTAAGCTGCTGTCTAACTTGCCAGTGAAGGAAACTAGGTTTTATTTGCCGTTCCAGCTTTCTGCCAAGTCAAACATGATGTTTCTTTTGAGTTTTTGGTGGGAGTAATGTCTGCATGATGCTCGTGATGTCTCATTTTGTTTTCTTTTGATCTGCATATGTAGATACTGGAAGGGTATACAGAGGATTACTGCTCTGCTGCTTTGAGCCACTGAATGCAGGTTAGTCTTTGTGACAACTTGTAATAGGTAAGGTTTTTCTAAGGAAAAATTAAACGTGTTCTATGGGAGGAGTGATCATGCACCTGGTCTGTGTTACCTTAGTCATCTCCAAGGTGCACTAGGTTCTTGGTCACCTTTGGTTAGCAACTTGCTTAAATTTGTTCCTTTAACTCATAGTAGCTATGCATAGCACTATGATACGGCAGAAAATCTTGAAGATGAAGACTCTTGGTTAAAATGGAGGTCTCGGCAATAGCACAGTTTGATATAAATAGAAGATTCCCAATAAATGAGTTTAATACTTGCTGGGGTTTGAGCTTTTAAACACATCAGAAAGATCAGCTTGGTTCCATTTTTGTTCTTTTGGGCTGGTTGCTTTGGCACAAACATGAAAACGAAACCACCAACCCTTTTTTTGCAGCAACCAGTCTTGAGTGTGCTTGAAATGTAATCTTACTGTTCTACGGTAGTCGCTGTGCCTTATTTTGCTTACCTGGATTTTCTCCAGCATACTTCTTAAATAGAAACTGGAGAGCAGCATAAATAACCATGATTCTTTCAACTGGTTGTTTAAAAATACACGACTTAAGCTTTGCTGAATATCTTTCCCTGTTTTTTCCTATTGTTTCCAGCAGGTGGCATTCGTGTTCCCTTATGGAGAGGTATTAGGAAAAGTGTCTCAATTGGGTTGTTTTTTGGGGGGACTTTCTTGCTAAACATGCTAGTAAAGCTGCGCCCTAAAATGTAGGATGCTTCCAGAAGGATTGGCTGTTTCCAAAAGGGCTGAGCTTGTCTAGTTTTGAAAGGGTCGCTTGTGTTTGCAGATTTTTATCATGCCTATTATAGGAGGGGAGGCTCATTTTTCAAAGAGGTTACTCATAGTTGCATAAAAATTCTTGTATCTATCATCTGAAGCATGTGGCTGCTGTTAGGGTGCTTGGCAGGTTGCTGTTAGGCCACACTGCTGTGGTTTTTTATTACGGGGCTTCTTTGCTCAGAGTTTAATCAGAAAACTCTTAGTGGTAAAGGAAGGCTTCACACTGACCTCAGTTGACTTACTAGGTAGTATGTGGGAAAAGTAATGCCAGAACACTTCAATAGCCATCCAAACCTTATTTTTTTTACTATGGGCTGTACTTACGTGCCCAGTGGAAAGAAGAAAACTAGATCTGTTGCTTTACAAAGTGAAGAATTGATGTGACTAGAAAAAGAACAGTGTCAAATATGTTTAGTGATGTTAGCTGTGCTCAACATCCCACTTGGTCCAAAGTTTCTCATATCAGGAATTGGTGATGAGGAGGCTGGTAAGGGTACTCATTTGTATGGATAATGACTCTTTTCCCCTTCCTCCTTCCTCTGTTCTGCAGGAGTTAATGTTGTAGAACAAAGGTTTTTCAGCTCCCTAATACTGATGTTTATTGATTTCTGGAGCACCAGGCAAGTTTCAAGAAGGTCAGGGCAGGTAATCAAGAGGCAATAGTTTTGTTGTGGGTTTTTTTCATTTCCACCCTGTGCCATAAATAATTGATTGTACTGATTGCAGCTGGTTGTGTACAGGCAAGTGTAGTCTATGCCAACAGTGAATGGGGTAGCGATTTCATCACTCCACAGCAAAAGGCTTGATTACTTCTGACAAGTTTTACCTAGATGTTTTTTTTTCCTAATGAAAAAAATAATCATGCTGCATAAGCTCCTCATCTGCACTGTGTCTAGCTTCATTAGTACAAGTGCAGCATCCTCTGCAAGTACATCACATGTGCTGTAACCTTCTTTTACTTGGAGTTTGTGCTGGGGATGAATGCTTGCATGAAGGGAAAAGATTGATCTGTGGGGGTATGCTTTGTTTTAAGGACTTGGCTATTAGGTGCATGTCAGATGGATCATGAGTGGTCAATTAAGGCTGAGTGTTAGATAAAGGTAGGATATTGTTTTACAGGGATGTTTCACCCTGCATATCATGATTTATGCCTGTGTGCAAGCAAAGAGTGTTTTTATTACTAATGAAATGCATATACAAGGAACATTATGAGATGTTATATTAGTTATGTGCTGTTTGTGACCTGAAAGGAATGATGTTAAAGTAAGTGACCTGCTGGTGGATAAAAGCAAGGCCTGCGATACCATTTGCATACATTTCTAGGTCTCTTCACTATGTTTTTATGGCTTATTTCAAAGACTTTACTATCTATTATGGAAAAAAAGTAGAGCTGCCCTTTTGGAGATGGGTGACTTTTCAAAAGTGACGCTGATTGATGATGATAATAATGCCCCATGTCTGTGTAATCCTGAAATGGCATTATAGAAGCTGTTGAGTATACTATGATTTTTAGCCTGAAATGCTTGATTAACACACAGGAGAGATGAAAACCATGAGATTGTTCCCCTTTAAGCTTAGTCCCAAAACATGCGGAGTGGGAATTGTTGTACATGTGGCTCTTTTGCCAGTATGCCTTAGAAAATAGTTGAATTGTTAACAGTAATGGCATTAACACTTAAATGGCATTGCTAGCTTCTAGAAACTAATAGTAGTGTACTCGCTGCAAGGCATGGGTCTGTAATGCTCCAGTGACTTCTGATTAGTTAGAGCAGGATATAAATAGGTTGTTTGTCCTGAATGTTAAGTTCTTCTAAGTCCTGTATAATAAGAGGCACCCTTTCTAGCACAGTTTCTGTTAATGAGTGCTTAATACTCCTTTGGTATGTAAATATAGCACAGATCTTCTGTCAAAGCAAAAGAGCAGTAACTCAGGAACTAGCAACCCAAGTATGTGGTGAAGTGAGAAAGGATGTGTTACAAAGGCATGAACCAGGTTGTGCTAGCTGCTTTTCTGTGGTATTACCTGCAGTAAGTAGAAACTTATTTCAAGTAGGTTACTCCACCATGAAAGGTACTCTAGGCAAACTGCACATACTCAGGCACGAGAGCACATACTTGGGCACAAGAGCACATACTCGTGGTTCCTGCAGAGGAGCTGACAAGTTAGTAAATGTTACCTCCTGTTAACAAACCATGGCATGCTTGCCCCTTGCAGGAAGGGGGGGGTGGGTGTCTGGGTGGGTGTCTGGGAGGACAAGACCATCTTCCCATGTAGCTCTCAAGTGAAGGTGGCCAATCAGTGTGCCCTACTCTTCCCACTGATTTTCAGTGCATTTACTCCTCATTCTCTCCTGTCCAAGCTATGTTGAATTTGGTTGGTAGCTTCATTTCAGCCAAAAGTACTTCTTGGGAATTACTGGTTTACAGCATTTGAGGTCACAGCCTCTTTGCCTCTAAAAGCATGATGGTAAGAAAGCAGGAGTTGATGTATGGGGCTTGGAATCCACATTGTTATGAGTATTGGAAGATTTCAGTGATGTTCCTGTGTAAAAGAGAGAGGGCTGCGATACATTTAGTAACATAGATGATGTATGATTGCCTTTAAAATTGACTTATATGAAACTGCTGTTAGTTTAACTAAGGAGAAGCAGGCAATGAACCAGAATTCCCAGTTAGTGCATACAGAAACATTTGCCCAAACAAGGAAGAAATTGCCATGGAGGCATTCATGCAGTTGTACAGAGTGAAGGATTTAGGCTGACACTCAGCCTAAACCTGGACTTGTACAGGAATTAGTTGCACTCCAAAAATCTTTGTCTAGGTCAAACTCAGTTCATGGGGCTTTTGCTGTAAATTATGGTGTAGAGGTAACATTAGAAGAGCAGGACAGGGATGTTATTAACACTCTGCTCAAACCTGATGCAAGAAAGTCCTTTCCATACCCACTGGGGGTTTCCCAGGGTGGCAGCAGCTAGAATTAATACTAATCACACAGTTGGTGTTCTGTACTGTGGCTGAGCATAGTCTTGGAAATGTCAAGTAAAATCAGCCTGTGCATAAAATGTTAAAATCACAGACTGGCTTGGGATGAAAGGGACCTTAAGATCATCCAGTTTCAACCTCCTTTGCCATGTGCTGGGACACCTATCACTAGACCAGGTTGCTCAAAGCCCCATCCAGCCTGGCCTTGAACATTGCCAGGGATGGGGCAGCCACAGTTTCTCCAGGCAACTTGTGCCAGGGCCTCATCACCCTCACAGGGAAGAACTTCTTCCTTGTATGTACCCTAAATCTCCCGTTTAAGTTTTAACTCGTTACCCCTTGTCCTATCACTACAGTCCCTAATGAAGAGTCCCTCCCCAGCATGCCTGTAGGCCCCCTTCAGATACTGGAAGGCTGCTATGAGGTCTTCACGCAGCCTTCTCCAGGCTGAACAGCCCCAACTTTCTCACCCTGTCTTCATATGGGAGGTGCTCCAGTCCCCTGATCATCCTCATGGCCGTCTCTGGACTTGCTCCAACAGCTCCATGTCCTTCTTACGCTGAGGACATCAGAACTGCACACAGTCACAGTGCTCCAAGTGGGGTTCACGAGAGCAGAGTAGAGGGGCAGGATCACCTCCTTTGACCTGCTGGTCACGCTCCTTTTGATGCAGCCCAGGATACGGTTGGCTTTCTGGACTGCGAGCACACACTGAAGCCAGCTCATGTTCATTTTCTCATCGACCAACACCCCCAAGTCCTTCTCTGCAGGGCTGCTCTGAATCTCTTCTCTGCCCAACCTGTAGCTGTGCCTGGGATTCCTCCGACCCAGGTGTAGGGCCTTGAACTTGGCTTGGTTGAACCTCACAAGGTTGGCATCAGCCCACCT